AAGTCTGGTAGTGTGATGCCTCCTGCTGTGTTCTTTTTGCTTAGAATTGACTTGGCTATGCGGGCTATCTTTTGGTTCCATATGAAGTTCATGGTGGATCTTTCCAATTCTGTGAAGAAAGTCAATGGTAGCTTGATGGGGATACCATTGATTCTGTAAATTACTTTGGGCAGTATAGCCATTTTCATGATATTGATTCTTCCTAACCATGAACATGGAATGTTTCTCCATCTGTTTGTGTCCTCTCTTATTTCGTTGAGCAGTGGTTTGTAGTTTTCCTTGAAGAGGTCCCTTACGTTCTTTGTAAGTTGTATTCCTAGGTATTTTATTGTTTTTGTAGCAATTGTGAATGGCAGTTCGTTCTTGATTTGGCTCTCTTTAAGTCTGTTATTGGTGTATAGGAATGCTTGTGATTTTTGCACATTGACTTTATATCCTGAGACTTTGCTGAAGTTGCTTATCAGTTTTAGGAGTTTTGGGGCTGAGGCAATGGGGTCTTCTAGGTATACTATCATGTCGTCTGCAAATAGAGACAATTTGGCTTCCTCCTTTCCTATTTGAATACCCTTTATTTCTTTTTCTTGCCTGATTGCTGTGGCTAGAACTTCCAGTACTATATTGAATAGGAGTGGTGAAAGAGGGCATCCTTGTCTAGTGCCAGATTTCAAATGGAATGCTTCCAGTTTTTGTCCATTCAGTATGATATTGGCTGTTGGTTTGTCGTTAATAGCTTTTATTACTTTGAGATTCGTTCCATCAATACCGAGTTTATTGAGGGTTTTTAGCATAAAGGGCTGTTGAATTTTGTCAAATGCCTTCTCTGCATCAATTGAGATAATCATGTGGTTTTGTTTTTGGTTCTGTTTATGTGGTGAATTACGTTTATAGACTTGCATATGTTGAACCAGCCTTGCATCCCCGGGATGAATCCTACTTGATCATGATGGATAAGTTTTTTGATGTGCTGTTGCAGTCAGTTTGCCAGTATTTTATTGAAGATTTTTGCATCTATGTTCATCATGGATATTGGCCTGAAGTTTTCTTTTCTTGTTGAGTCTCTGCCGGGTTTTGGTATCAGGATGATGTTGGTCCATAAAATGATTTGGGAAGGATTCCCTCTTTTTGGATTATTTGGAATAGTTTCAGAAGGAATGGTACCAGCTCCTCTTTTTGTGTCTGGTAGAATTCAGCTATGAACCCATCTGGACCTGGGCTTTCTTTGTGTGGTAGGCTCTTAATTGCTGCCTCAACTTCAGACCTTGTTATTGGTCTATTCATAGTTTTGGCTTCCTCCTGGCTTAGGCTTGGGAGGACACAGGTGTCCAGGAATTTATCCATTTCTTCTAGGTTTACTAGTTTATGTGCATAGAGTTGTTTGTAGTATTCTCTGATGTTGGTTTGAATTTCTGTGGAATCTGTGGTGATTTCCCCTTTATCATTTTTTATTGCATCTATTTGGTTGTTTTCTCTTTTCTTTTTTATCAGTCTGGCTAGTGGTCTGTCTATTTTGTTGATCTTTTCAAAAAACCAGCTCTTGGATTTATTGATTTTTTGAAGGGTTTTTTGTGTCTCTATTTCCTTCAGTTCTGCTCTAACCTTAGTTATTTCTTGTCTTCTGCTAGGTTTTGAGTTTTTTTGATCTTGCTCCTCTAGCTCTTTCAATTTTGATGGTAGGGTGTCAATTTTGGATCTCTCCACTATTCTCATGTGGGCACTTATTGCTATATATTTTCCTCTAGAGACTGCTTGAAATGTGTCCCAGAGATTCTGGTATGTTGTGTCTTCGTTCTCGTTGGTTTCAAAGAACTTCTTTATTTCTGCCTTCATTTCATTGTTTATCCAATCAACATTCAAGAGCCAGTTGTTCAGTTTCCATGAAGCTGTGTGGTTCTGAGTTAGTTTCTGAATTCTGAGTTCTAACTTGATTGCTCTATGGTCTGAGAGACTGTTTGTTATGATTTCAGTTGTTATGCATTTGCTGAGGAGTGCTTTACTTCCTATTATGTGGTCAATTTTAGAGTAGGTGTGATGTGGTGCTGAGAAGAATGTATATTCTGTGGTTTTGGGGTGGAGAATTCTATAAATGTCTATCAAGTTTGCTTGTTCCAGGCCTGAGTTCAAGCCCTGGATATCCTTGTTGATTTTCTGTCTGGTTGATCTGTCTAATATTGACAGTGGAGTGTTAAAATCTCCCACTATTATTGTGTGGGAGTCTAAGTCTCTTTGTAAGTCATTAAGAACTTGCATTATATATCTGGGGGCTCCTGTATTGGGTCCATATATATTTAGGATCATTAGCTCTTCTTGTTGTATCGATCCTTTTACCATTATGTAATGACCTTCTTTGTCTCTTTTGATCTTTGTTGCTTTAAAGTCTATTTTATCAGAGACGAGAATTGCAACTCCTGCTTTTTTTTTTTTTTTTTTTTTTTTGCTTTCCAATTGCTTGGTAAATCTTCCTCCATCCTTTTATTTTTAAATTTTATTTATTTATTTATTTATTGAGTTGGAGTTTTGCTCTTGTTACCCAGGCTGGAGTGCAATGGCGCGATCTCTGCTCACCACAACCTCCACCTCCTGGTTCAGGCAATTCTCCTGCCTCAGCCTCCTAAGTAGCTGGAATTACAGGAATGCACCACCATGCCCAGCTAATTTTTTGTATTTTTAGTAGAGACGGGGTTTCACCATGTTGACCAGGTTGGTCCCAATATCTCAACCTCGTGATCCACCTGCCTCGGCCTCCCAAAGTGCTGGGATTACAGGCTTGAGCCACCATGCCTGGCCCCTCCATCTCTTTATTTTGAGCCTTTGTGTATCCTTGCATGTGAGACAGGTTTCCTAGATACAGCACACCGATGGGTTTTGGATTTTTATCCAATTTGCCTGTCTGTGTCTTTGGATTGGTGCATTTAGCCCATTTACATTTATGCTTAATATTGTTATGTGTGAATTTGATACTGCCATTTTGATGATAGCTGGCTGTTTTGCCCATTAGTTGATGCAGATTATTCTTTTTGTTAATGCTCTTTAGCATTTGGTATGTTTTTAGAATGGCTGGTACTGGTTGTTCCTTTCTATGTATAGTGCCTCTTTCAGGAGCTCTTGTAAAGCAGGCCTGGTGGTGACAAAATCTCTGAGTACTTGCTTGTTTGCAAAGGATTTTATTTTTCCTTCAGTTATGAAGCTCAGTTTGGCTGGATATGAGATTCTGGGTTGAAAGTTCTTTTCTTTAAGGATGTTGAATATTGGCTCCCACTCTCTTCTGGCTTGTAGAGTTTCTGCCGAGAAATCTGCTATGAGTCTGATGGGCTTTCCTTTGTGGGTGACCCGACCTTTCTCTCTGGCTGCTTTTAGTATTTTCTCCTTCATTCAACCCTGGTGAATCTGACAATTATGTGCCTTGGGGTTGCTCTTCTTGTGGAATATCTTTGTGGTGTTCTCTGTATTTCCTGGACTTGGATATTGGCCTGCCTTGCTAGGTTGGGAAAATTTTCCTGGATAATATCCTGAAGAGTATTTTCCAGCTTGGATTAATTCTCTTTGTCACATTCTGCTACACCTATCAAACGTAGGTTAGGTCTCTTCACATAGTCCCACATTTCTTGGAGACTTTGTTCATTCCTTTTTTATTTCATTGAGTTGATCTTCGACTTCTGATATTCTTTCTTCTGCTTGGTCAATTTGGCTGTTGAAACTTGTGCATGTTCGCGAAGTGCTCTTGTTGTGTTTTTCAGCTCCTTCAATTCATTCATATTCCTCTCTAATTTGTCCATTCTTGTTATCATTTCCTCGAATCTTTTTTCGAATCTTTTTTCAAGGTTCTTAGTTGCTTTGCATTGATTTAGAACATGTTCTTTTAGCTCACAGAAGTTTCTCATTATCCACCTTCTGAAGTCTGACTCCGTCATTTCATCACACTCATTCTGTGTCCAGCTTTGTTCTCTTGCTGGTGAGGAGTTTTGGTCCTTTGTAGGAGATGAGGTGTTTTGGTTTCAGGTTTTTTCCTCCTTTTTGCGCTGGTTTCTTCCCATCTTTGTGGATTTATCCACCTGTCGTCTGAGTAGTTGCTGGCTTTTCGATTGCGTCTCTGAGTGTACACCCAGATTGTGGATGCTGAGGTATTTCTGTTACTTAGTTTTTCTTTTAACAGTCTAGCCCCTCTGCTGTATGACTGCTGAGGTCCACTCCAGTCCCTGCTGCTGTGGGCTCCGCCCTGTTGCCCAGGCTCTACCCTGCTGTTGTGTGCTCCGCCCTGTTGGCGGAGTCTATCTGTTATGGCAGGTTGCCTCGGCAACGGCAGGCTGAATCAGCAATGGGCGTGTACCTCAGTAGGGGTGGAATGCCTTGGTAGTGGCAGACGCCCCTCCCCCACGGAGCTGCACTGTCCTGTATTCAGCTGTGCCGGCAGTGAAACTCTAAACCCAGAGCGTTTGGAATCGCCATTTAATTTGTCCCTGTGGGGGTGGGACCTGCCGAGCTTGATCACCTGGCTCCCTGCCTCAGAGCCCTTTCTCCCTCTTTTTTTTTTTTTTAAGTTGAATGGATGACTCTCTCCCAGGTGTTTTAGTCGCCTGCTGGTAGGGTACCGGGAACTGTGTGATTTCCCGTGCAGGGGCCCACTGCACTGGCTCAAATGTCACTTCCCGGGAATCTCCTTGTCTGGCTCACTGTCCAAGTCCCGTTTAATCAGCTGGATATGCTAATCTGCCCTCCCAAATTTCAGATTGCTGGTTTAACAGGGCACCCAGATCAGCACGTTTTGTGCGGGGCGCAAGCCAAGAGGGCTGCGCTGGCTTCCCGTGACTCTCCTACACCTGGGAATTTCCCCATTCTGTAGGCAACAAAGATCCGTCTGGGAATGTGGCTAGGACTCACCCTCTGTGCCTTCAATGAGAGCTGTAATCCCGAGTTGTTCCTACCGCTCAATCTTGGAAGACCCTGAAACAATGTATTAATAAAAGACTGGAAAACGGCTATAGCAAGACCCCCGCCGCCATTAGTCTGCAGTTGTTAGTCCACAGCCGCTGCCAGAACCCCGCGGCCGCTGCCACAACCACCATGGCAACGTCCCTGCCAAGAAGGACACCAAGCAGAAGGTCGTGAAAGAGTTCCTAGCCAGAGCCAAAGAAAATTTCCTCTACAGATGGGAACACCTTGTTCAGAACACCGCCAGCTTGGATCAGTTTAAACTGCTGAAGACGCTGGGCACCAGCTCCTTCAGGCAGGTGGTCCTGGTGAGTCACCAGGAGAGCGGCAGCCACTACGCCATGAAGATCCTCAACAAGGAGAAGGTGGTGAAGCTGCAGCAGGTCGAGCATGTCCCGAACAAGAAGCGCAACCTGCAGGCGATCCTCGTCAAGCTCCATTTCTCCTTCAGGGACAACTCCAACCTGTACCTGGTGATGGACTATGTGCCGGTTGGGGAGATGTTCTCCCACCTACAGTGCGTCGGAAGGTTCAGAGAGCCCCATGCCTGTTTCTATGACACCCAGATCGTCCTGGCCTTCCAGTACTTGCACTCGCTCGACCTCATCCACCGCAACCTGAAGCCCGAGAACATCCTCATCGACCAGCAGGGCTACCTGCGGGTGACAGACTTTGGTTTCACCAAACGCATGAGGGGCAGCGACTGGACCCTGTGTGGGAGCCCCAAGTACCTGGCCCCCGAGATCATCCTTAGCAAAGGCTACAACAAGGCCGTGGACTGGTGGGCCCTGGGGGTGCTCATCTACAAGATGGCCATGGGCTTCCCGCCCTTCTACACCAACCAGCAGATCCAGGTCTTCCAAAACATCATCACTGGGAAGGTGCGGTTCCCCTCCCATGTCAGCTCTGACCTCAGGGACCTGCTGTGGAACCTGCTGCAGGTGGACCTCACCAGGTGCTTCGGGAACCTCTGGAACGAGGTCAGTGACATCAAGAACCACAAGTGGTTCGCCACAACCAATTGGATCACCATCTATAAGAAGAAGGTGAAAGCTCCCTTCATCCCGAAGTTCGCAGGCCCTGGGGATGCCAGTAACTTTGACAACTGTGAGAGGAAGAGATCCAGATCTCCATCAATGAAAAGTGTGCCAACGAGTTTTCTGAGTTTTAGGGGTGTGCTTGTGCCCCCTGTGGGTTTTCTTTTCTTTCTTATTTTTTTGGACCCTCTCAGAGCTCATCCTATGTCTCTCTTCCTATGGCTGGTTCAGATTTGTATGCTTTATAATAAAACTGTAATCACAAAAAAGATAAATAAATAAATAAAAGACTGGAAAACAATCTAAATTCCATTAATAGTAAATTAACTAAATACATTATGCTACATTTATTAAATGAGATATTTTGCAGATCTTCAATAAAATGCAAAAAAAATAAGAAAGCTCTATATATTGATATAAAAAATCTTCAGAATGTAAAAAGTTTGGTGGGGCTTTTTTGTTTTGTTTTTTGAGACAGAGTCTCACTCTGTCATCCAGGCTGGAGTGCAGTGGCATGATCTCAGCTCATTGCAACCTGTGCCTCCTGGGTTCAAGGGATTCACCTGCCTCAGCCTCCCAAGTAACTGTGACTACAGGCGTGTGCCACCATACCCGGCTAATTTTTTTTTTTTTTTTTTGCATTTTTAGAAGAGACAGGGTTTCACCGTGTTAGCCAGGATGGTCTTGATCTCCTGACCCATAATCTGCCCGCATCAGCCTCCCAACGTGCTAGGATTACAGGTGTGAGCCACTGCCCCTGGCCTGTTTTTTTTTAAGTGTAAAATAATGCTATCTTTTATGTAAAAAAAAAAGGGGGGGGAGCATTAATGCCATTTCTTAGTTTGTACAAACAAAAAAAAGTAAAAATAAAAAAATTTAAAAAGAGTAGGGGAATACATATTCATACATATTTGTATATGTAAAAACTCTGGAAAGATTCAGAGAAAACTGAAAGCAGTGATTAAGGTACAGGATAGGAACCAGGCATATGGGCTAGATATGAGAAAGTAATTCTTTATTGTGAACCTTTTCATCTTCAGCCACATGCACACATGTTCTCTGTGATCCTTTCTATCACTTAACTATAATGAATTCTGAATCATTATTTTAATCATTTATTTATAAAATTTTACTGGCTCAATGTTTAAATCCAAAATAATTGTTCGCTTCAAAATTTTAAGATTTCTAGGCTTAAGTAATTGGCTCTTTAAAAATCCCATTAGAGCCAGGTGCAGTGGCTCATGCCTGTAATCCCAGCACTTTGGGAGGCTGACATGAGTGGATCATCTGAGGTTAGGAGTTTAAGACCAGCCTGACCAATATGGTAAAATCTCATCTCTACAAAACATACAAAAATTAGCCAAGCATGGTAGTGTGTGCCTGTAGTCCCAGCTACTTGGGAGGCTGAAACAGGAAACCTGGGAGGCAGAGGTTGCCATGAGTCAAGATCATGCCACTGCACTCCAGCTGGGGCAACAGAGCAAGACTCTGTCTCAAAAAAAAAAAGAAAGAAAAAGAAAAAAAATCCTATTAGAGTGAATACCATAATGCTAAAGAGTCTAGTCTCTTAAAAAAAAGAGTACAGGTAATTTTGCTATAATCACATCTTCACTAAAATATTATATGAGCCCTGGCATGGTGGCTCATAATCCTTTGGGAGGCTGAGATGGGAGGATCACTTGAGGCCAGAAGTTTGAGAACAGCCTGGGCAACATAGCAAGAACCTATCTCTACCAAAAAAAATTTTTTTTTGATTGGCCAGGCACATGCTTGTAGTTCTAGCCACTCGGGAGGCTGAGGCAGAAGGATCCCTTGTGCCCAGGAGTTTGAGGCTCCAGTGAGCTATGATGACGTCACTGCACTCCAATCTAGGTGACAGAAAAAGACAAAACAGTATAATTCACATAGCCAAATTCCACTTCAAGAAGTTCTGAAAGACTTCTAACCATTTTATCATGTTTTCTGTACTAGGAATGTGTTTAATTAATACTGCTTGGAATGTATTAGCTAACAATTTAAGTTTGAAACCTTTGGTCAGAAAGAAAATTTTGTTTTAATGTTATTTATACTTTTTTACTTGATCTAAATTATTAGTGTCTGCACAATGGGTTTTTCCCTAGTTGTAGACTACACAAGATAGTAGAGAGGTCAAAAGCATGGGCTCTCAAGTCAGGGTTTTATGTCCTGACTCTACCACTTACTAATTATGTGACTTTGGGTAAATGAGTTTATTTCTGAGTGCTTGTTTCTTCATCTTAAAATGGGGATAATAATAATACCTACCTCCTAGGATGGTTATGTGTATTAAATTAAATATACTTAATTAAATATTTAAATTAAATTAAATCATTCCATGCCCACTCATATAAAGTACCCAGTAAGTTTTAAATATTGTATATGTATGTGTGGCATAGACTCCAAGGAAGAATATAAAAACAGAAACTTTGTCTATAAGCCATACACACACATACACACTAAAAAAAAAGTTTCTTCAAGACAATATTTTTCTTCTGAGAAGTATACTGGAGGGCTTACCATCATCTTAGGATGTGGAGGGCTGGCAAAGAAGAGAAGCATGTGTAATTTGAAAAAGCACTTGATCAACAATATTATAATTTTATATCTAGGAGAAAGCAACATATAATTCACATAATGTGAAGAAAGTAAAGCTCAAGAAAATTATTTTGAGTAGTGGTGATACATATAAGATGCAGTGCTTCCCAAAAAGGGCATGCCATTTTAGAGTCCTATCAGAATTTGAAGATGAGCAGTAGGACAGATGGGATGAGTTACCTTTAACAAAAGGGCTTGCATTAGGCAGTGGGTAGGGAAGCACTGCTTTAAAATAAAGCAAAACTGACCAAACTCTCACAGGAAGAAGATCACTTATCAAAGAAAGGAAGTTTCAATTTAAAAAAGAAATCATTATGGCTTTGCATCACCACCTGTCCTCTTCTCTGCATATGGATTTCCTTTGGCTGTTGTTTTGGGGTAGAGAATAATAATTAATAAGAAGCAAAGGTATTTATCTTGCTTTTCCCAGGGGATGGATTGGGATCCAATCTTCCTTCTTCCCAGGCTTCCTATTGCAATAATGAAATTCCATTATACTGAAAATGATGTAACTCCCTATAGGGTTAGTTGCAGTCAGACTTGACCTGTGTGGATATGGTGATGATGAGAACTAAAGAATAGGGAAATTCACAGAAAGAAAATGACAGCATTTAAATTTGCTTTGCTCACTTTGCTTTGTCTTAATTCAATTGTACTATGTCCACTAAAAACTTCCCTTATTTCTGATGAGAAAAAAAATAAGGCAAAATAATAGAAATAAATTGCCAAATAGCTTCAGAATCTAGTGTTCTCTGAACAGTGATCAGGGTTTTTTCTTCTTTCTCCCTTCACCTACACTCCCCTCCACAACCATTGATCAATTCTCATTATTAGCTCTTAGAAAAGCAGACAATCTCTGGGACAAGCCTGGCTTCAGATCAGAGAGTCAATATTCTACTGTAACAATCTGCCAAAAAATGCAATTCAGGCACATCTAAAGTGTGTCTCCCTAGAGGAAAGCAAGAAAAACAGGCCATTGACAGAGGCCTCACTATTTAGTTTGATTCAACCACAGCTGCCTCTGACATTTCTAAGCCAGTCAGAGTTATTATCAGAAAATGCAAGTGAGCAAATGCAGAGTGACAGCAGACCATAGCACAAAGGTTGCCTGGTTCAGGAAGTTTATCCATCTCCCTTCATTATTATCCCGTCTCTCTGTCCCCAACCCCAACTCACATGAAGAGCTGAGTTCATGATGAGGAGGACTCACAGGGAAGCAATGTGTGAGAAGAAATGTGGCAGTGCATCACTTTAAAAAAATAATTTATGAAGAAAGTGGCATCACCAAGATGGCCAACTAGAAGTTCCTATTCATCTCCCCACCACAACAAAATCCAAAACAATGAATAAACAACTACATACATATTGACCAAAATAAGGAGAGCTCCAGAGGAAAACAACAACAAAAAGCAGCAGAAACCCGTAGAGCACAGAAATCCAAGATAGCCCCATAGGGAAGGGAGTACCTTGAGTCTTCTACCCCATACCCCTAGTCAGAATCATCTTGGAATCAGGAGAGACTTATTCCTGCAGGGGTAAAGGTAAGCAAGAGGACTCTATCATCCCCCATCACCACTGCAAACACCTGCAATCTTCACTACTGGAGTCTCCATCAGTCCTCACAGGATCAAGCCCATCTGAGGGAGCTCCTTGGAGTTCACACACTCAGCTACTCCCAGAGAAGGAGCCAATGCTGCACCTGGCCATGTGTGTCCCATGCTGCCATTACTCTGCACCATCTTGGAATGGGAACCCCTGCTATAATGCATCCCATTCTGGGAACAAGTAGCCATTGCACCCTCCATCCCTGAATCTTTGCTGCCACTGTAACACTTCTACCCAGTAGTGCACCACCCCAAGACAGGATCTTGTGAAACTACTGTAACACCTGAGACTTGAGGTGCAGGTTCACTTTCCAAGGCCCAAATGGATGCAATTCTCCCACTAAACCAGAATCTGTTTCTCTGAGGCACACCCCAGCCACTCAGGCCCAGGGGGCTAGAATATTGCTATGGTTCTGACCCTAGGGGGCAGGGTACAGCATTGGCATGACTCTGGGAAAGAAGGGGTGCTTCAGAGGCACAGGCCCAGGGAGAAGGAAACAGCTGCAATTTGGGACTGAGAACCAACAGAACATGGCAGCTGTCCAGGCTCTGGAGATGAGTTACCATGCAGTGGTGACTCTGAACCCTGGGGTGGTAGAACCTGGTAGTAGCCCAGGTTATGTGAGGCTGGGTGCAGCAGCAGCAGCAAGGATCCAGGAATGGCAGACCAGAAGAGAATGGGACGATATTGTCAGAGTGCTGAAAGAAAAAAAAATTGTCAACCAAAAATACTCTACCCAACAAAGCTTTCCCTCAGAAATGAAGGAGAAATAAAGTCTACCAGATAAGCAAAAACTGAAGAAATTTATCACCATTAGACCTGCCTCACAAGAAATACCTAAGGAAGTTCTTCAAGTGGAAATGAAAGAAACATAATTGCTATCATAAATACATATGAAAGTATAAAACTCACTGGTAGAGGTAAATACATAGTCAAATCCAGAATACTCCAATACTGCAATGGTAGTGTACAAATCATACATTTCTCTAGTATGAAGGTTAAAAGTCAAAATGGTCAAAAATTACTAATGCTACAATACATTGTT